TTTTTTCATTTCATGGTCAAGTTCAAACCACATACGAGTTTCTTCTTGAATGATATATTACAGATGACGTTTTGACATCTTGTCACAGATACAAAGAGATAATGTTAATAATATTTACTATTAGTAAAATAATCTTCAACAAAAAAATGTCAAGAAATCGTCGAAATTATTGTAACAAAAATACTTTAAGTAGAACCTCCTACGGCGTGGATAAAAACGTCCTGTAAAATCAACGCTCTAATGGTCATTCGAGAATGATGTATGACAGCAATACCGTGAAGATCGACTACATACAAACATCTAATCGCACTCTGTGCTCGCAGGGCATCCCGTAAAAAAATTTCTCCAGAACTGGTATTGGAAGTATGAGAAAGTGTAACCGAAACATACGATGAAAACATATACCTAAAAAGAACTAGCTCTGATTACGCTACAACGCCAGTCGATCCAGAAAACTTCGAATGAACATGACGTTTTACGCCGTATTTCTTGTATGTAATTCCATCAATATAATTATCATCGATATTCAATGTGTTCTGATAGACATTATTTAAGTTTCCCTCCTCATTTGGATACCAGAAACGAAAGCGGACATTTTATGAATGGCAATTACTGTTTTAAAACACCAGAAACTGTAACGAGTGTATTAAATATTTAACTGCGTTTGTGAGCACCGAAATTTAATTGACATAATAACTGACCGAAATTCATTGCACCGGTCGTGGTATGTGATTGATATGAATGGTAATGTGTTACTGTAAAAATTGATTTCATTAGTTTCATTGGTTACGCCAACAATAATCGTTGTGCACCTAGAAGTGATTACATCAATATCAACACATTTTTGAATAGTTGACAAACCCTGAAATCCGTCAAATAAAACAACTTCGACATACCATTCGCTAAAGCAAAACATCATTTATAAATGATGAGACAAATTTCTTGTAATACACATGAAGATATTCGGGCATAAAATCATAGTAGTTCAACAATAGTAATAGTGATTTTAACCGAAATGACCGTTGGACCGCGAAATGCGCACCTACATCAGCGACCATGCTTGAGGCATAACATTACAAGATACTTCATGGTCATCATTAATTCGTTGGTAAACCCGGTAGTCGTAATTTACACATGCACAGAAAACTCGTTATACCGCAAGCGTCCGTGTCTGAATTGGACTTAAAAAATATTACTCTTGACAACCAACGCGACTCGGTTGGTAAATACACAATGTAATTCATACCGAAAACGATTATAAACTTTCACATTTATACTGTATGGATCGCACTCGTATGGTGAATTACAATTAATATTAATGAAATAAAGGTGCGTCGTACAGATATAGCAAAACTCTCAAGTAATATGAGAAACTCACGAATGAAATCCGCTTGTTGTAAAACGGGAGCGCTCGAAATCTTGAAAAATTATAATCAACTAAAATTTGTATCAAAATTAAACTTGCTATGTGATTTCGACGGCACGCATACTGAATTTAAATAAACATCTCAATTAAAATACCAGCGGTAAAATTTGCAGGCAATTTAAACTAAACAAGATGACGATAAAAAAAAGGTACAAATAGTACCGTATGTACTTCAGGTGTTACGGTTTTGCGCAATTGAATATAATGTTCCCACGTTTGAATACGGTAATCATAGTGGTCTTTTTAAAATTTCTAGTTTCTTTGAGGATCTCGACTTAAATATTGAACAATTTTGAAAGTGAAATAAATAAATAATCATTTATTGATTCAATAAAATAGGTACGGTCCAAGTTCGATTGTATTATATTATTGTTTGATGAATACCAGAGGCTGCAGAAGACGTGACGACTGGTCTTTTTTGACTCCTTTCGCTACTCACGATCAAAACTTTTATGGGAAACTCCTCCTCGTCGGTCACCGAGACTGCGGTTTTCGATCATTGGATCTTGCCAACGGCCAACGGGTCACGGTTTATGCGCGATAACATTGTACAAACTATATACTTTATTGTCCAGAACGGTAAATGATTATTGTTTAAGTTGTAAAAACACAAATTATACTGTAGGGAGTAAAATTTCGAAGGTATTATTGGAAATTTTTGTATACAATTTTCATTTATTTGAACATGGATAGTATTTTTATGGTATTCCATATAAACGAATTGACTTTACTTAAAACTCATACGATTCGTGCATTGTACGTCATATTCTTCCACACGAGTATGAGCACACGATCGGCTAGACCTCACCCAACGTGGTAAACATATTATTTTATACCTACTTTCGGTTTCATACTATTTTCGCATTCTTTCGTTCAAGGTTGTTTCGTTTGGAATAAATCTTATGGCAAACTGCCAGTGATCGTTGTCGGGTACAGCGTTGGCTTCCACTTTGATGTAGGCCAATAAAAAATGGTCCGACTTCTAAACTCAACATAACACGGTCAAAACAATATTAAACATCGATAATGAAAAGAAACTAGGATAGTTATCTGAATAATAGCCAAGCATTTATTTAGTACACATGATGTACATAGATGATAAACAGCTTTACGACACTTTCATTTTATACATCATTAATTATTGCCGACCGAATAAATAACCCTTACACTCTAGTCTCGATAATTTATATTTCACTGCATACTAGAAGAAAAATATATTATAAGCTATATACCACCACATAAAAAGTTCTTTAATACGTAGTCGATTCACCAACATTATTAACTCAATAATAATATATTTTGTAAAACAACTCTTTCAATCCATAAAATTATACTATTTCATGGTAGGTACAATAAATCATGATTTTCTTCGATGTTTAGGCACATTAGTGGATAATGTTGTAAGCTGCTAATTCAGTAGCAATTATTAATAGATATTAGTATTTTAAAAATATGTGTGCGAGTTAAAAATGCATGTTAGTACATACATGCATCATACATATATGATACTTAAGTCATTGTCGACAAAGAAAAAATATTTTATACTTGCACAAAGAAGTGACGAGAGAAATTTTTGAACAGAATCTTTTTTTCAAATAAAATGTTATAACATTTTATTTTTATTCTCTACGTGTTTAAATGAAAAAACTTATTGTCCGTTAAATTATTATGGGGCAACGATGGGGTGAAGTGGCTAGACGAGATTCCAGCTGTAAATACGGTTGGCCGCCTCTACTATATAATAATATCCCATTGCTATTGTACTTAACTACGTTCCAATACAAATTACAAGTATATACACAGGTATAAAGACACCATTCTCCTTAGGTTTACCATGGAGCGTATGTATAGGTGTTAGGATCAGCTAAGGAATATTTTTTATTTATTTTATCAACAGGTGAGCCACGTTCTGGTGATAATCGACTAATAATGCATATACAATATTATACGTACTATTGTGTAACGCCCATAGTCAAATTATTATCATTATTGTATATTTTTCGCTTGTGTGTATTTTTCTTCTTGGTTACGATAAAACATAATATTTTCTTACCAACTGTCTCGTTGACCGATTCTAATAAAATTATATGCATTTTTGGCACAAGTATTACTTTTTATTCTTGTATACCTTCGAAATAGGTTTAATGACTTCTCGACGATGTCCAAAGCGGCAATAAGGAAATAGCACTCTCGAAATTTATTAGAGAATAACACAGAGCATTCGATTAGCAAATCACCGGCGCATTCAAAATCACAATATCAACCGTATAAAAATATTAAGTCTTTCGCATTGTATGGGTACCTACGCATTCAGAATATTATTTTATTTTGTTTTGTATTATATTATTTATGTGTTGCACAACCATGATACATAATACTCATACCCTGGTCTCGTTTCTTAAACGATTTTATCAAATTAATAATAATAATATATTATAAGAAATAATACAGTGGACACATGATTCGACATATTCAACTGTCCGAGATTGTGTATTTATATGACTTTATAGTGTATTTATGAACTATATTATTCAATATAGCTGATGGTGTATTCATATTGATATCAGAATAAAATCTGCTCGACCATATTACTGAAACTCAATAATAAACCAAGAATTCCTCAATGCGTTTATGGCTTTCTTGGCTACTTATATGTATGGGAATGAAGAGTATAAAGTGCTTTTGAGGTCCACTTTGGTTTTAAGAAATCTATTGCATTATAAACAATAAGAATTATTATTGAATCGAAAGTCTGCTAAGTTATATTTAATAATCAGTTATAGTTTTAAATTAGATTTCAAATACGTCAAAAATAAAGAAAGTAATTGAATGGAATTTAGAAAAAATTAAATGATTTTCTTTGTAGTACAACACAGAAATTATGGAGATAGACAAGATACTATAAAATTTTTATGTTTGAATGTAAATAGTTTTGTAATAATTTTTTGTGTTATAATTTAAGTCCACTTCATCTTATGATAATAAACCCGCGTAAAATATCCAACTGATTATACTAAATGAATTGTTTATTATCATGAGCAACTATGGTGCTTATATTAATATATCTTTATTATGATTATTATAATTATTTTATTTATTATTAAAACTAATTATTTTCCATCACGTATCAAGTAAATATCCTTGGACACGTTTCTGATAGATCGCCCCCCAGGATATTAATACTTCGTCTGTTTAAGTCTCAAGACCTTTTGTGAGCAGGAGCAAAGAAATCAAATTAGTTATTTTGCATCACTATACCACACTTTTGTACTTCTAGTGATGACTTTTCAAACAAATAATTGTGATAATATATCATAAAAAAAATCTTATTTAACAACACACAATAGACGGTAGCATGCATTGTTATTCAACATCGATTTGTGACGAATAAACGCGAGACGAACTCTGAAAAGAATCCTGTGTGTATATCAAAACACGACTATACGGTGATTGAACTTTGTTGGACAGTTATTATTATTCTGCTCGTCAATATACCTAAAGAAACATTGAGAACCAATGTGTGGGTTTTGTATGAAAAACAAACCGCGACTTGAGAATGGCTTGTTTGTCTTACCTTTAGGCATCCCACATGGGCCCGGAGTCCTGCCTGTGTCCAAAAAATCGAGGTCATAAGACCGTGCAGGAGGAAATGTGAGGGCTACATGACTCGTGGTCCTGCACACAAAGCAGCCTACCACGGCCAGCACTAACGACCATGCAATTGAGTTCATGGCGAACTTTTTAAAAATATACTCAAGCTATCTTCAAGCCCATTTCGTTTGACCACCTGAAAGAAAAAAAATTATATTAACATTTGTTCTTGTACATGAATTTTACTCAAAATTACATAACACATTAGTATAATAACATTCCCATAACATGACGCCGTATTTTATGGTTCATTAGAAATATAAATTATCTATGATCTTCCCGTCCTTGAAGTAGGTGTAAAAATAAAATAACGGATTCATTGAAGATACCGAGAGTATACTGGGAAGAACATAACACGATATTAGAACATTGTAAGTCGACTTATTTTCTACCAGATACTTTATTAATGACGATCCTTGGAAGCATCATTACCTTGACATTATAAAAAATCTTTCTACATTTTATAATTGTCACGTTTATAACATACTTCGTTTCACCGATAGTTTTGATAATATATATTACTACACGCGTACTGGGAAGAAACACTCAGTAAATTTAAATATTGAAGTATTACTTTATTGCAATAAACATACGAAGCATTAATCGATATTAAATTAAATTGACTTTTTATGAAGTTCCCATGACATATGGTTAAATTAAATCATAATATTAACTGAAACGAATTCGTCGTGACGATATAATACAAACATTAACAAACCTCAATTGGATGCAGCAGACAGCAGTATGTTTACGTTATGCAAATATATGCCCGGACGTATATAATTTTACACAAATTTAGTCTATGCAAAGAAAACCCTCACGGATATAGCAATCCAAATCTAAATTAAGTTTTATTGAAATTAAAAAGAACTTTAACATAGTTGACTATAAGTAAACAATATCCATTTAGAAACGATATAAATTTTTTTATTTTTTTCGATATAAGACACAAAATGCATTATTTTTAAAGAAGACTAAATAAAGTTAAATTGATTAAATGAAATGTATATAACTATTTATTACATTTTGACTCGATCTGCTAATAAATCTCTAGGAAGTGTTAATACACCCATTGTCATGTATGCTTATATTTTTATTACCAATGTTCATCATTAAACTGTTTTACTATAGGCATTTTCAATCATTATGAATTTTTTAATTTTCTGATTATAACTAGTATTTTATTTATAATGCAAACTAACTGAGAGACACTATGTAAACGTATATGAAATAGTATGTGTTATTATTAAACCATAATGCTATTTATAATAATTGCCGGACTATTTAATATATTTGGAAAATCAAAATTCGAATCAATTGATTTCGTTAGAATAAAAGCTAAAAAACATATAATAGGATCCAACATATTATCCAAATTGTCCAAATCCTACAAAACATTTTTACTTCAATTTGTTTATACTAATCATGCATCAGTATTCTTGGAGTTATCCAGTTTACTAAGTGTATGCGTATAATAAATGGACTACAAAGTGGTAAGTTACGTTTAGGCATAGAATGTAATTCAAAGTACGGGTTTTGCTTTTATTCATAGATTTATAATGTTTGCAAGGATAAACTCATTTTACTTTCAAAAGATAACCCTAAAATCTACTCTTAGAGGGAATTTTGTTTGACGATTAATTTAATATTTACTATGGTCCATGAAAACAAATCAATATTTAATTAGTCAATTTTTATAAAAAAAAAAAAAAAACATAATTTAACGAAAAATGGGGGTAGTATATTTAATAAACCATGCTGTATACTAAAAATAATAAATTAACTTTTAACATAAAATTTACCAAGAAACATTTATTGTTAATAACTGAAAACACTATTGTAATTGTTGATATATTCTAACGATAAACTTTCACCGTTGGTCAATTTCGGTATTATGTTCACTTGTCTAAGCTACACATGGAGAATAGATATATTAAAGTCATCCATACACAGGTATTATGTATTAAATTAAACATAAGTATTTTTTCACCATAAGAGCATTTGAAGGTCGACTAACGCTAACTATGTTATTTCACATAATGATGTATATAATGAAGGGACACTAGATGAACTTTATAGATATAAATTTACAATGTAAATTCCACATACTAATACTACGTCTACTACTATTAGAGTATTTATTTAAGAAATTTTTTATTTTCTTGTATGAAATTTCACATCGACATACTTCTCATTTTATAATTTTATCGTCATCGTGATAATCAACAATCATCCGACGAACTTGTACATGTTTCAATTATCAATAGTCATTCAACCGTTACAATGAGAAACGACTTAGTGTTCACGAGTGTACTGTTGAATTTGAAATCATATTTGCTAATTTTACATGCTCGACGGCAACACTTCCTTGATTAAAATAATGGCAGCGAACGCAAAAGGGTTGTCAACCTTGCGGTTTACATAGTGTGCTCACCCAAACATGTAATTAAAAAGATACGCTTACAGTTTTCATCTCCGGCTCAACATGTCTTGCCGATAACAAAAATAATAATTTAGTTTCTTCCGCGCGATTTCCGAAATCTTCGCGTTAATCTTCTCAGACATGTCATCGCTCCACTGCGGTGTGCACGTCTGACACGAGCGTTGTCTTTTTTTATATTTGAAATTATTTTGCATACATAAGCGTGTATGTATTACGCACGAATAGATTCTATTAACGCTGCTGAGACCCGTTGCACCAAATTGCTTTCGTGATTCGTATGACAAGAAAGTTTACGATTGACTAAATACTATGTTCACGTTAAAAATAATGTCAAGTTAATATGTTGTACACATTAGAAGAAGAAGAAGAAGAAGAAGAAGATACTTTAGTTTCAGACCAAAATCGTTGAAAAAAAATATTCTAACCAAATCCTGGAGCGACTACATGTGTTATTATGTAACGCTGATATCAGCTATATATAGTGACTCGCTGAACAGTCTTCGATTAATTGCAGGTATCTACCCCGTCAAAAAAGACATCCGTCGCTGCTATATCTATGTCAATTGGACCACATTACATGTTGCATTATCAGAGATGTATATCTTATAAAAAATGGCCATGTGTAGAGACTGTGTAGGAATGCAGTCTTGTGTTGTCATCGAGCGGCGACGACAGTATTTTTCTAGGACACGATGTAAACCTCGAAAGTTTTCGCAACTCTATACGACCGACAAGCTATACATGAAAACGTACAACTTGCGCTGTAAAAACAAAATATTTATATTAAACGGCTTTATAGACAACTAACGAGAAAGCTGCACTAGAGGAGACCACCCGTGGATTTTTGATTCATCTCCAATATAAAACCGAATGCTATTCTTCCACGTGTACTTGTGACTGAACTTGTATTTTTTTTGACCGACTTGTTTAAGGCGATCATTTTCTGTCGAGTTATTAAAATAACTATTACATTACTATAATGTCTTAAAAAAAACTTACAATTCTCTTTGCTCAGTTGCGGTTTAATAATGCATTACGTAATAACCCACACTACTTTTACACAGCTATAGAAAAACGTGCAGCTAGAGGAATTATGGCGAATAACATTGTCCAGCGTTAAAATCACCTCGAGTCATTCCCAAAAATTATAATAGTTAGTAACTATTAGTTACTATAATTACTATAACATAATAATGATTCTATTATCGTATGTTCAATAATAATTCTTCACATATTTGTTTTATTCAATGTCATTTTATTTTTTCAATGTAAAGTTCCTTGACGAGTATGAGAAAAATTGTAGAAGTATCAATAGTTTTAAACAGAGTCCAACTTGTCAAAATACTAATATGGCATTCGCCGTATAATCTTACCAATAATTTGCGTTTGAAGTATTAAGGTAAATATTATTTAAAAAAAGGCTATACATATTCTCTAATACATTATATAACAGTTTGCTAATACTAAATAGCATACGATGGTACACTAGTTGGATTATTCACAGTCCTACGTAATACTATGTATACAATTCATTACGACAACGGTAATTATAATTTTGATGTTTTCACTTTTTACTCATCACACCAAACGAGTTTTTAACACATCGATAGACTTAAAAATTCAATTTTCAAACTTAATTGGCTTGTGGGAGTGTATTGGTCTAAATACCAATATTAACTTAAATGTTTAATATCAGCTGACATACGGACAATCCATGTTTCAATTTGCAAATTTCCAACAATTGGCATCGAACTCCAAAAAAGGATCGATATAACTACTCGGATCGAATACTTATTATAGTTTAGCCCGGTTAACGGACGGTGGCTCATCGCTATGTCAGTCCGTCCACAACTATTATCGTTCAAATAATAAATCTGTGAATCGCGAGTTCTTGAGAGTCCGTATACCGTTACGCATTATAGACATTACAACAGCAGTCCATTGACGTCGTATTTGACCATTTGCGAGTAACTGCGCAAGAAGAAAACAAAACATCAAATGCCTATACAATATTTAAAACATTTTCCGGACTGTTCGATAGAACATCGAGATAAAACCAAAGTTTTGGCTTCCCAGAAGTCTTACGAAATTAATTCACGGTTCTAGAACATCATTACATTTGTCATATGCAAAAATAATCGTGTAAACAAATTGCAACATGAAATTAGAAACGGGGAATGATGATTTCGTAGAATGTCGAGCTAAAATGATTACTAAACAACCAGAACCATTTTGATATATTTTTTTACATCGACTGTATTTATTATACCGTGGGAAAAATTTTCAACGTTTGGTTTGCTGTTGATGGACGATTTCTTCAACAACCCATTAGTAGCCAGTGAAAATTTATTATGATCTATTTATTAACACCTATTATCCACTAGTAAACATGTTTACGATTACATATATTTTAAGCCGCCATTCCTCTTCCGGTAAACTAACACAGGAACGATTACCAACCGAGTCTCGTCGTTACGTGATATGTGATTTTGTCAATTAGCGAATTCAGAGGAAATTATTCTTAGATTTGCTGTGTAAACAGTGTTATAGTGAACTAAAAAATAACAGATGCGCAACAAAATAAAAAGTAATGCCTAATCCTCGCAAAGAATGATATTTTTTCCCTAAAACATTTCCATCTCCACGCAGTAAATAGTATGAAGCGTGGCAAGGCTACAGTTATAATTATTTAATCAAAGCCTTCATCGTGCAATGCGAATACGAATGAATCGTTATCGCACGAGGTGTTGACGGTTTTAATTATTTTGTTAAACAGAAGACAAATGATCATAAGTTTCTTTACTCGATAACCCATGAGGAAAAACAATAATACTATCGACGGTAAAAAAAAATCACACAATCAAACAAACAGCAAACGCAATCATGGTATGTTTTTAGTCTGATTAAAATGCTCACGGGTCGTATTAATCTATCTATATGTCACGATTTTCTCGAATTAAAAAAAAAACACTCTTCCAAGCATAAATGTTTGTTAAGCGTATTGCCATCTCATTCTGATTTCGCGGTACGTGCATATGAATGTTTTCATGTTACGGATAAACAGCGAAAGTGAATTTTTATCGATAACCATCGATTCTCAGCGTTTAAAATTACAACAATAGTATCAACAGCAACAACAACAGCGTTTTATTGTGAAACGGATTGACATTTCTTCGAACGCGCGCCAAAGTATTACTATCAAAAGAATTACTCTATTTTCGAGTAATTCCAAATATAAATGTATTATCCTAGTTTCATTATAAACTCAAAGAACAATTATCAACACTGTCTTTGTTTGTGATTAATACCACACGGTTGGCGGTCGATTCGATATTGTTCCACCGATCATATCGTTGTAATGTGTAACATAATATTACTATAATGTAACGACTTAATACACCCAGAAATTCGTATACTTTTAATACTCGACGGGATATTTTGTAAGAGTTTATAAAATCTTGAAGTTTTATCTGTTCAGACAAATGGATAACTTCTTGTACATTCAATCTTTTAATTGTTTTTAAAGATGAATTTGACGTTTAATATACTTGAAATGGTTATATCATTGAAATTTTTTTTTAATTAAAATAAGCTTCTCAAAGTTTTGATCAACTGCTCTGAATTAATATTCGGACGTCAATCCTTATACCTAATGAACACCTTGCACATGTTATCGTTTAAAGTGCACCCGCAAAAATAATAACGAAATGTGGTTGAAATTTCATTTTCTTATTTTCATAGTCTTTCCTAGTTCGAGGCTCTTCCGATAAGAGCGAGAACGTGTGCGGTATTCAAGCACGTTCGAGTGACATCGTATGTCACTCCGTATAATTACGTACTCCACACGTGATTGAGACACTGTTTTAACCTCGCTGAATAGCAATTTGTAGTATACAGTTATTTTATTCTACAAAAAAATGACTATACCATTTGATATGAGCGAAAAAAATAACACGTAACGGCAAAACGGAAAAAATTAAATGACAGCTAATAGTTACTGACAAAAAATGTTTCTTGTGGACGTTCAGGTTGGTCGTACGTTTTACACGTTACGCATTATCGCAACTACTTATTTGGTTATTATTATTGCATTTTGAACACATGACATAACAAAAGGAGTAAATACGTATATTTGAAGTCAAATAAAGGTGCAAACGATTTATTCGACGGGCATACATATGCACTTGGAGATCATGTGTCAAATGTTTCCGGACTACTTCGCGATACACATATAAACACATATATCAAACAGTATGTTTTCCCTTTAAAGCTGATATTTTCTAAGTATCTCTTTCTACGATAAAGAAAATCTCATTTCGCGTTTTGGTTGAAATCTTATTTTCCTTCAATTAAACTAAAATATTTATGATTATTATTTAGTTTATGAATGTAAAAAATAATAACATTAATGATAGATCTCATGTGTAAATTAGATCGAAAAAAACTACAGCTATCACGAAATTAAAGAACACCAATGCTCATCATGAATCATGATATTCATTTAAAAAAAACAGTTATGATACATCTAGCCCGTATCTCAACTCTCTAACCCAAACCAGAAGTTATATTTATGCATATATTTCCTACAGGGTCTATTGTTATTTGCATATTTATATTCTATTGTTTAAGTAACCCGTAACTTAAAAAAATAACAACAGTTTAACTCTCATAGTACATAACTATTATATAAAAACATTTTTACAGCTGCCTAGAACCATTAAGGTGTTTTTTTTTTGTAGTTTGTTAATTAATAGTCACTGGTAAATTAATTGTATTGATTCGTTTATTACAATTAAATTTAAATAAAAATCATCAGGTTCAAACAAAATAACACACTAATTAATTACAATTAAAACCTATAGGGGAAATGATTTACCGCCTAAAGTAATCATGGGAATTTCAGCCCAATATTTTTTTCTTGTGTCACTTTTAGCAAAAGTGTATTCCAATTCGGTAACAAATTATTACTGCCGTCTGGGCAGTAGACCATAAAGATTTTTTAACAATCATTAGTAATGCTATTAAAAGAATTGTTAGTTAAAGAATTAAAAACAGTTATTATACAATAACTCTTACCTGAATAAATGGTTATTATTTAAAATAATTATTGATATTTATTTTTCTTAATCCCACTCTAGTTAATTTCAATATTATGACTGTAATTACACTCACATTAACACGCAAGAGCGGAGTATAAGAAAATCCGATTATTATAAAATAGTAATCACTCGCGACAAGTGCAACAACGTAAACGGACACGACACACGTAAATTACACAAACTAACAATGAAACGGTCGGAACCGGACTGCTGTTGGCTATCACTAGAATGGGGTGGGTGTTCACGCGGAATTGTATCCTTCGCCGTCGTTCCCTACTTAGAAAATCAAAAACATTACCACACGGTAACCGCAACGGTCTCTTGGAAGACTTCAATTACTGCGCACGCGTACAATCGAAGCAACGTTCATTCCAAACTAGTCATCACAAGATGATCGGTGAGCGTCTCACTGACTCAATTTGTAAACATTATAGATAGGAATGGACATTTTCAAATGTTTTAAATTATAGAATAACTATTCAAATATTTTATTTTTAACAAAAACTATGAAATATTTAAATAACCTATCGAATATTTTTACAAATCCAGTAGTTGTTGAATAACTATTCAAGAGTTCGATAATTACTATTCGATACATTCTATCACTAGTAAAAACACACCAGCGTGTTGTTATATCGTTGTTGCCGTAGAACTCATACGGCAACAACGATGGACAACGTATACTTCACAATGCGGCGGTATACTTGTTTATACGGCGTCTTGGCATTCCATAGAAGACTGGCTGAAGGCCGTTGCTCTTGGGAGTCATCCGTCGACATCATCTTCATCATGGTATTACCCCTGCTCTCGCCGCAGGATACTTATTGGGCGTACAACAAAGTATGATGCCTGTACGGAGGCAACTAGTGTTGTGATACAAGGGAAAAATGACAAAATCATTGTAAATGGATATAAAAAAATAGTTCACAAATTCTAGTCAAAGATATTACCCTAAAAAAATTGAAAAAATTTCCTTCGATCATCGTAAATGGAGAAAATCCCCCAAAAAATTACAATTTTAAAAATCGAAAAATGCTTAACATTTTAGTTTCGATGCGAAACTAAGAAGGTATTATTTTACATTGATGTGTTTTTTTTTGTGTCTGTTACCACTTTTTCTCAGCTCTCACCGAACTGATTTCTTTCAATGATACGTCAAAAGATCACAAATCGTATCTAGTCGAAGACGTTACCCTCAAAAATTGAAAAATTTTCTCTCGTTCCCCGTAAATGAGGAAAACCTCAAAAAAATTAGAAATTTAAAAATAGCTAATTTTCGAATTTTTTCTATTTTTTTACTAAAAACTGCCGTAACTTTTTCAAAAATGAACATATCAATATAATTTTTTTTTATATAGATGCTTGATGTCATTACCTATTATTTGGTATATTTTTTTTGTAAATTTGACCTTTTTTCTGCCCACAGGGAGGGATTTAAAATGACAACTTTTTCACAAAAAATTAACTTTTTCAACTTAACTTTTGAAAATGTTCCGGAAGGTCTGACACTTTTATATATATCTTAAATTAAAGCTAATGTAATGTACTTTAATTTGAAAAAAAAAAATTTGACCTCTGGACTTGTCTTCATGGTGAAAACGGCTACCGAATGCTATTTTTGTGTGAAAATTTTCGATTTTATAATTTACATTTTTTACTTTAAAGTGCTATAACTTTTTAAAAAATGTATGAATCATTACAATTTTTTTATGAGAAGTAGTATTTATATAGATCTTTAATTCTACATACTTTTTTTTTTAATCGGACCATTTCCCTTAATACAGGGGGGATTCAAAACATAAAAATGCATATAGAAAGTAGAACTTTTTCAACTTAACTTTTGAAAATGTTCCGGAAGGTCTGACACTTTTATATATATCTTAAATTAAAGCTAATGTAATGTACTTTAATTTGAAAAAAAAAAATTTGACCTCTGGACTTGTCTTCATGGTGAAAACGGCTACCGAATGCTATTTTTGTGTGAAAATTTTCGATTTTATTATTTATATTATATTTAACTTTATAATGCTATAACTTATTGAAAAGTTTATGGATCCACACAATTTTTTTATGAGAAATAATATTTTTTAATAAACCTTTTTTCATTCGACATACTTTATCTTAATCGAGATATTAATAAGGAACCAGCAGATCAAGTAGCTTTTGGAATAAAACACCAATTTTTTAAAATTAAACACTATCTAAAGATTTGCATCGAAGCGTTTATTTTTGATAGTGATTTTAATCACTGTCAGATTTCATTATACTTGATCCAACTATGCCACGTCACCACTGTGCCGCGACCCCCCTGTGCTGGGTTTTTTTTTACTAAAAACTGCCATAACTTTTTCAAAAATGAACATATCAAAATAATTTTTTTTTTATAGATGCTTGATGTCTTTATCTATCATTTGATATATTTTTTTTATAAATTTAACCTTTTACCAGCCCACAGGGGAGGATTCAAAATGACAACTTTTTAAACTTTTATTTCTTAAAACTGCCATAACTTTTTAAAAACTGTATGGATTCCCACAGGGAGAGGGGGTTTAAAATGGCAATTTTTCCATGAATATTATACAAAACATGATTTTTGTGTTGAAATTGGAAAATTATAATAAATAGTTTCACAGAACTTAATGTAATTTTTACAACGAAATTACAAAGAAGTTGTATGTCTCCTTACTTCTATGGCAAACGTGTAAAAAAATAAAAAGGGCTTGATGCAAAATTTTTCAGAAAATAATTTTATGTTAATTATAAATAAATACACTAGTCTATAATGAATTATATAAAAAATATCCATACATATATATTATTAAATATATATTTGTAATAATTAACATTATACAAAAAAAAAAATGTAATAAATAATTTATCATGTTATAAACACTTACAAATAAAATTTTAAAAATTTAAAAAAAAGTTGAAACTACACGTGAATGGAATAATTATTTCATTATCGGTATTATTTTTAATTGTAGTATATATTAAGTTGGTGTAAAAATTATTTTCGTATCAAATAAAGTATAAAACATTATTTAAATTTAATGATAATACTAACAGTAAATTTATACTTATCATTTATTCAATTAGTTATAATTCAAATTATCTAATCCAAAATCTTTACAGAATAATTTAAACCCATTCTTAATCATGAAATTAAAATCTTTTATTTTACTATTAGCATTTGTATCAATATTATTATAGTTTAAAGATTTCACATATTCGTCTATATATATGCTACATTGTGACTTTTGTACACAAATATAACGATAGTACTCGAAGTAATCAAAAATGTTTAAATTTATCGCTTTTTGACATAGTATATTGGCCTGGTTTATGTCAAGACTTTCAATGTTATTTTTTAAATCAGCCTGAACATTTTTATACCATTGATTCAAACTTTTAATGGTATCAAAAACTATACTTTTATGAATGAAAAATGTACTTGCACTTTCTATGCATGTCAATAATAGATGTATTTTACTTATATTTTCTATAAATTTTTTTAAATTATTAACTCTTTTCCTAAATATTTGTTTGTCATAGAAATACAATTGCTTAAACATTTCTGTAATCTTTTTCCACATCTCATTCAATGGATTTAGAATTTTGAAGTAAACTAAAGATAATACTATTACACTCATTTTCATTTTATCTGTAAAATTGCTTTCGGTAACTATATTATCTCCCATTTCACATGGAGTTATTAAATCTTTTATAGTAAAATCTTTATAAAAGTCATCCTTATCTTTTGAATTATTCAACAACTTGCTTTTCAGTTTATATGATTGAAAACATTTGGTCCATCCTATGTGGTTAAGAATTGAATTCAACTCGTTAATTTTTGATTCATCTACACTTGACAGAGTCACAAAGATAAATGTATTAGCAAATATAATCTGAATTTGTAGAAGATTCATAATTACACAATAAAGGGCATTAAGAGTTAAAAAAAAAATTTCTAGGTACTTAATATTATAAAACATACATGGCTTGTTTCAGTTATATTACATTTTTTTTTGTTTGCATATCATAATTTTATTTTGAAATATAGGTCTTGTTTTTTATTTACTTAAATCAACTTTATAACTTTAAAAATTGTGGAATAATAAATACAGAGTGATTTAAATATTATATAACACTAAATTAATAAAAAAATAAAAATATTTTTATGATAGTTTATTTAATTTTTATGAGTATATTCTCGATTTAAAATGTTTGGTTTATACGTTATAGATTACAAAGGTACTAAAATTATGTTTAGATTCGATGCAAATCTGAGAAAGTATTAATTTTACTAGGTTCTATTTTTGTGTGTCTGTTACCACTTTTTCTTAGCTCTCACGGAACCGATTTCTTTCAAAAATGTGTTAAAAGATCACAAATCGTATCTAGTCGAAGATATTACCCTCAAAAATTGAAAACATTTGCCTCGTTCCCTGTTAATGAGGAAAATCACCAAAAAAATTACAAATTTAAAAATTGCTAATTTTCAACAATTTTTCATTTTTTTTTTTACTTAAAACTGTACATAACTATTTGAAAAATGTAACAACATTTCTCTGTATATATTTATAATATATAAATAAATAAAGAGAAATGTTGTTATTTAAAAAAAAAGTATGTCGAATGAAAAAGAGATATATAAATATTATTTCTCTTAAAAGAATTGTATTGATCAATACATTTTTCAAAAAAATATAGCATTTTAATGTTAAAAATTTAAAATATAAAATCGATAATTTTCACACAAAAATAGTATTCGGTAACTATTTTTACCGTGAAGACAAAATAAAATACGAAATTTTTTTTTACCATAGATAGCATACATTCGATAGCCATTTTCATCACGGAGACAAGTCCAGAAGTCAAATTTTTTTTTTCCACAATAAAGTACATTACATTAGTTTAATTTAAGATATATATAAAAGTGTCAGAGTTTCAAGAAGGCTTTCAAAATTTAAGTTGAAAAAGTTAGTTTTTTATGAAAAAGTTGTCATTTTGAATCCCCTCCTGTGGGTAAGTTAAGTGTCAGATTTACAAAAAAAATATACCAAATGATAGATAAAGACATCAAGCATCTATAAAAAAAAAATTATTTTGATATGTTCATTTTTGAAAAAGTTATGGCAGTTTTTAGTAAAAAAATAGAAAAAATTCGAAAATTAGCTATTTTTAAATTTCTAATTTTTTTGAGGTTTTCCTCATTTACGGGGAACGAG